GATTGTTCCATTTTGTTGTCCCTTGGAGCAAGTCTGGTTTCAAGACTTATTTGTCTTCTCATTTTAACCAATGCAACCTGCATTGAGGTGACTCTTTTCTTGCTCAGTGGGCTTCAATTCTCAACAAGCCTTGGAGAGGGCTTCTTTCTACTGTGCGATTTCCTGGGTTCAGAATGATGGCCTTCTGGATACCTGCTCTGGTCTTTTGTCTGGGAGGGGTTCTTGCTGCTGTCTGTTCTCTTACAGATGGTATCTGAGTGAGCCTTTGCCTGGGGCTTTCATGCCTGCCCAGATGCTTTCCTGGTGGGCCTTTGATTGGGGCCTGCATACCCAAGCTGCTGGTGCCTGGCTGGGGTCTGTTCACTCCAGCTGCTTCTGTCTGGGAGGCTTCTGGCTGGGTACAGTGAGAACTCACTAATGGTCTGTGGGTGAGCCTGTGGCTGGGGCCTTTGCACCTGCACTGCTGTTTTTTAGTTGGGTCTTTGATTGGGGCCTGCATGGTCAAACCACTGGTGTCTGGGCTGGTTATACATTGTACTTTAAAACAGAGTATTTTTCCTCAATTAATGTACATGAGTAAATTTCCAATAATGTTACAGTATTCTCAATGTATTTTTTGCTAAGCCTAGGAGATCATGAGCTGAAACTGGGGCTCTATGTTTTAAATTTTGGTTTTAATTTATATATAAATTCACCAAATGCAGTAGAATACAGATGTTTCTATTTCAAGAGTTTGGAAAAAAAAGAGTTTTAATACATCTCAGTACTAATTACTCTATATTAATGTATATTAATGTACTTATTATATTAATGTGCATTTTAATCCGTTTTTAAGTAATGGTTTGAATACTTGCATAATTTTTTCTGTAGAATTATTCTTAAGTATATTTTTCATGATATATTACTTATAATTAATTTATGAGATGATGACTTACTGAAGTCTTTCTTAATCATCTTCATCTTATTAACTATCAAACTATATGAATAACAGATAGAAGTAAAAAACATCAGTGGGATTACAAAAGAGAAAGATGACCTTCTCCAGGTATCAAAATTGAACTCAGATATACAGGATGAATGAATGGTCAGGAGTTATAGCACACGGCAGACTTTTTGCAATGATAAAAAGTACTTCTTTTTCCAGCCAAGACTCAACGTTGTTGGAGGAGATGGGTTGCCATGGACAGAGATTGAGCTTCTGTATTTGAGAAATATGGGAGGACTTGAGAGTTGAGTGCTCCCATGCTCCACAAATGTGGGCTTGCACAATTGAAAGTTTCAGAAATGCCTCCCAGTAAGAATCCAACCAGGCTCATTGTTGGTTTAGTGGATGGATTTTTAATGTTTTCCTTATAGATAAACAGCATGTGGTATTTAACAGCTATCAGGAGAGGAGGGCTGATTGATTGATGATTGCAACTGTTAACCTATAAGATGTGAATTCCAGATCAAAGTTTGTTTTGATGAGCCTAAAAAATGGGAGAATTCAAAAAATTGAGTACATAGATCCCTTTAAGGAGTTTTTCTATAAAGAGAAAATAGATGTGACAGTGAAGCTAATTGAATAGGAAATTCTGATTGTGAAAAGAGATGATTTTTTTAAAGAAATATCTCTGGGGGCTCAATAGTTCTGCCACCTGCCTTGCAAACTCAAGGACCCGAGTTCAATCCCTGGTACCAAATAATTAATTAAATGTGTCTTAGAATATAGTGCATCACTAGAACATATAGTAATTATGGGATTCCTTGAATCCAAGGTTAATAACCACAAATGAATTAATGAATGAAATCATCTTGAACACACGAAGTATTTAAAGTCTTCAATTATAACCATATTAAGTAGCCAAGTGGAACTAAACAGTTTCTTATACAAATTGTAGCAACCACTGCATCTTTTGTCTTAGAATATAGTGCATCACTAGAACATATAGTAATTATGGGATTCCTTGAATCCAAGGTTAATAACCACAAATGAATTAATGAATGAAATCATCTTGAACACACGAAGTATTTAAAGTCTTCAATTATAACCATATTAAGTAGCCAAGTGGAACTAAACAGTTTCTTATACAAATTGTAGCAACCACTGCATCTTTGTTATTCATCAGATTAAAGGAAATTTTCAGCAAATGTTAGAATGGAATATTTTATATTTTATTGATCAATTAATACTATTGTTACACGTCAGATATAATGATCACACATTCATCATAGGAAGTTTGTACCTGCACATGATTTACTTGATTCTTCATTTTCCCCATTCTCCTCTGTCAGGACCACCCCATTGTTACTGCCCAAAACAGGTTTTAGTCAGAGCAGGCTGTGAAAAGTTATATGACCATTGGCATGTTTCAAAAGTGAGTCTGAGCAAAGCCTATGTGACTCATAGAGCCAGTGTGGAATGGCCTGTGGGTCACTGTCAGCCTCCCCCTCCACTGGCCATGATAGAGGCCAACACAATGGCCTGTGAAGCTCTGCAGCTTAATATGAGAAAACAAATGGCTGAGGTCAGAATGGCTCACACCCAAATCCTGGCATCCTAAATCGAGGGTAATAATTCTTCACATCTTCTCTTGTGTTCCACAAGGTATAACATGGGCTGGGGATTTAGCTCATCGGTCCTGCTTCCTACCACTAATGTATCACAGCATCTCCCATGATCACAGAATTGACTGTTGTTTACTCCTGAGCATACTCTGCTATTTTCACTGATGAGTGCATTTCTCAATCAGCTGGAGGTGCGGTAAAAATATCATCAACCAGGTGTGTAGAGGTCTCGTTTATTTCTCATGGTTGTGCATGTTCTAATGTCCATGATTTTTGGGCCAGAAATTTCAGATCCTGGTTATAGCCCGCTTTACAATTTGCAGATGGCAGACATTTTAGTCTGTTACCTTGACAGAGGGGAAGCTCTAAAGTGGTGTTTCATATATAAATCAGATGGAGGATATATAAAAATACAGAGGGCTCTGTGCTCAGCTTAGATGCAGAAAATATGACATGGATTAAATTTTGCCTTCTACAAAAGTAGCAATACCAAACTCATTCCTTGGAACTAACATTACCCTATACCAAAGCCAGATAAGTACTCAAGAAAATAAAACTACAGTTCAATTTTCCAATGAACAAATATATTAAATTCTGTTAAGTGTAGAGCATGACAGAAAATATTAACAAAATAAATTGTTAAAACTAAGCATTTAAAGGAATATACTATATTATAGTATTACACATATGCAAAAAGACTATATACCTAAAGATTCAGTTTAAATATATATACACACATATACCCAGGGCTGCTCTCCAAATTACATAAAAATAATTAAGGATTAAGAAAACCTGTAAAAGGCTTGAACAATTATTGTGAACACAAAGAAATTCACCTGTAGTATGTGAAATATCTCTAAATCTCCTAAGAGAAATATAAATTAATTGAATACTATTTTATAAGTATTACAATATGAGAATTATGGTAACTACTTGGAGAACATGTGCAGCATGAAGTGTATCTAATGGAATTGTAAAATTTTTTTCAAACAATTAGAATATCTCTTGCTAAAGATCCAAAAGGAAAATATTAATGCCCTATAACCAGTAATTCGACCCCATATTTATGACTCTTTAATTTTCTTCAGAACACAAAGAAGAGAATATTCATTCAACTTTATTCACAAAGGACAAAAACTTAGATACCAATATTTCCACATCTGAAATCCCCCTTATTTTTAGTGTCATAATACATAACAAAAGTAACGGAGCTTGGAAATGAAGGAATAACTACAATACAACCACATCACGATGAAGTTTAAAGCATAAATTTAGGGTAACATTAAAACATCAAATTCTTTTTTAACAAGAACAAGGGTAAAGTACACTGGTGATAAAAATAGAGTACGATTGAAATGACAGGAGGAAATAATGAAACACTAGCAAATAAATACTTGCTACATTAATTCCATTTCCCCCACCATGGTTATGGTGTCTTTCTTTTTCCATGACTTCTCATTTTCTGTCTGGCTTTTAAGGAAACGCATTGTTACACATAATAGCCACTCAAATGAGAAAAATTTCTCTCCTCAAATCTGCTTTTCTCAAGAAAGTAACATTCACACACTTTTATACAAGTTAGTCGGACAGGATCTGGACATATTCCTAAGGTCATCATTCAAACCAGTACAGAGATTCAGTTTGATTGATCCATGTAAAAATTACTTATCATTTGACCCACAGTAGAGCTATCATTCTGTGGCTATGGCATCATGTTTAGCTTTAGCACTTGATTTCGCAGTGATTACCAAGTGGCCTGGGTGGGAAAGAGTCCAAGAAAGAGGTCACCTTTCAGACCACTGACTGATGGAAACCCTACTCTGTTCTGATACTCATTCTCTTCATGTGTTGTAAGCAAAGGTTCCTTTCTTTATAGTTAGAATTTAAAAACTTTAGATTTGTTTCTGTACTAGGGCTGGAAGAAGCTTAGTTAATGATTTTGAACCATCCTGAAATCATCTCAGTTCACGGATACCATATATTTTGCTAATTTTATGGGTGAGAGTCCTGAATATGTTTGATGCTACTATTTCCACAGAAGTATGGAGTCAGTCACAAACAATTCTGAGTAAGTGCTTCACAGGCTATAAGTGTCTCACTCCCTGATTTAAAGTAGGATTAACTCTAGGCTGTAATTAATAATGTGGGAGCTATAATCAGGTGGGATCTATATTGTAAATATCAACACAGATTTGCTTCAACATTTTCCTGAATACTACCTCCAACTTGCCTTTTTCTAATAGTTTGCTACAACAGCAAAATTTGCTAAAACTAAACCCCTTCTTCAGGTTCTACTTTGGTGACAATGTTAGAAGAATTGAAATAATTTGTCATACAGCTAGACATAAAGCATAGTAAGGTTTCAAGTCAGGCATTATATGAAACATACTGGGTACCAGAAATCCTGTTCCTGTGAATTATTGTAGAAACCCATCACCAAGGCAAATGACATATCATAGAAGAGAAGGGTTGCTAGTGACGATTCTCCTCAAGGCTTCCTTCATGTCCTTGTTTCTCAGGCTATAGATAAAGGGGTTCAGCATTTGTGGAAGAAGAGAATACATCACTGAAGCCACTGCAGTCTTCCTGGGGGAGTCAGTCACTGCAGCGCTAATGTACACCCCAAAACCTGTCCCATAGAACAAAGAGACAACAGACAGGTGAGACCCACAGGTAGAAAAGGCCTTATATTTTCCTCCTGAAGACGACATCCTCAAAACAGAGGACACAATGTGAAAATAAGAATAAATAATTCCAGACAGTGGAATACCAACACATATACCACATGAAATGTATATCAGGATGTTATCAATGACAGTGTCGGAACAGGCGAGCTTGATAAGCTGAGCAAGTTCACAGAAGAAGTGGGGGATGTCCAGGTCTGTGCAGAAGGACAGCCGCAGCGCCATCAGAGTGTGCAGCAGAGAGTCTGCCACGCTAATTAACAAGGAGACCAGAACAAGCAAAACACAGAAGTGTGGGTTCATGATAACTGTGTACCTTAGAGGACGGCAAATGGCTGCATAGCGGTCATAGGCCATTACTGTGAGGAGAAAATTTTCTAAGAGGGAAAAAGTGACGACAAAACCAGCCTGTGTGAAGCAGCCTGTGTAGGTGATGCTCTGTCTTTGTATTTCAATGTTTGCTAGCATCTTTGGGATTGTGCTTGTGCTGGAACAGATGTCATTAAAAGACAAAACGCAGAGGAAGAAGTACATGGGGGTGTGGAGGTGGGATTCAAAGCTGAAAACGAAGATAATGAGCAGGTTCCCCAAGATGGTGATCAAGTATATAGATAGGAAGAGGCTGAAGATGAGGGGCTGCAGTTCTGGATCATCTGTCAGCCCCAAGAGATTGAATTCTGAGGCAGCTGTTTGATTTGTAGCTTCCATGTTGGTGATGAATCTGCTTGAAGAAGGAGGTAAAGGGGAGTATGTGCATGACCAGCAGCAACCACATTTGAAATGTGATCATGAAATCAGTATTGTGGTAATTCTGATCTTTGGAATCATAGCTTTCAGAACTGTGAGAAACTGAATTTCTGTTTTTAAGCTATCCTAACTATATAATCCTCTTTTATGGCAGGCCTAGCAACAAAGACCCCAAACAAACATCTTCAAAAACACCAAAACAGTAATTAAATTAAATGTAAGAATGTTTTAGCAGTGCCATCCTATTGGAAATGGTGCACATTTCTGCTCAGCAGGAAATAGGCCCTCTCTTTAGAATGGTTGAGACCAAGAGTAAGAACATTTGTGAATGTGTTAAAAATATGTTAGAGTTCCCAGTAGAGGCATGAGTGTCTTTTCTCTCATCATCTTATCCTGTCTTCTCATGGCTACTTTCTTAGATGAAATTCTATTAACACAACTGTCCTCATTTCCAAATCATTAGCAATGGGAGTTATGTTATATTTTTGACTTCAAGAAAAATAATGTTCATAACTTACCTGGATATTGAAGATGGAAAATCTGTTCTCAGATAGTACAGTAGGACTAAATTTATCAAGAATCATCTCAGAGCTAAACTATACTAGTTATTTTTTAACGTGACAGGGCCAAACTGTGGAGACAGGCCTTTATATACTGAATTCTATAGTCTAAATCTCTAGGGTCTCCATATCCCTAGCTCCTCACTAGACCATCAATTTTCTACACTCCTGATCCCAGGAGTGCATAGCCTTAGAGACCAGGAAGATACAAGTCAGGGATTGATGATGGCAAAATTTCTGACCCCTAAATGCAGTTGTATAGTGTTAATTTATCTTCAGTATTTATGTTTACCTTCATTTCACAGACCTTGCATACCCAATATATGGAAATTTCCTAACAAATTTCAGCCTTACATTTAATCTATAAACAAAAGCATCCCTATCTTTTTCACAGCATCAAGAAGATTGATTAAATTTTAACTTTGAAAATATATTCTACTGATGTGAGTAAACAATATAATTATAAATGTTAGATACTAGTTAAGATATTATAAAAATGCCAGTACTCACAGTTGCCCCTTCATGGTTATTATTACTTCTGAACATTGTTTTGTACAGAAGATTCCAAGATATCTCTGATAACTATCTCTGACCATGCATGACTGCAAAAGATATAGGCAGAGCTCTTATTCTCTGCTGAAATATTTATGAATATTTCCCCAATTTCCATCATAATAGCTTCAGTGTACATTTTTATTCAGAATAGTGGATGACTGTTATTTCAAATTATGCTCTTCAGCTTAAATTGAGACATAATTGATTTCCAAAATTAATAAAAGTCTGTATTTGATCAGATTTGTATTGTAATGAATATAGTGAAATGGTGCTTCATAGTAGCATTCATTTTTAAAAATATTTAAAGTCTGATATTTTATGTGCTTATCATCTTGTTCATGCCAAATTTCTCTATATAATTTTGTTAATATCTCATTTTCAAGATACATTATTTGACAACCACTTTGGGAATAGATGGCATTGAATATCTGCTTTTGCCATCTTTCCACATTCACATTTTTAACACATATTAATTGCCTTTGTCAAAAAATGTAGTGTGGAGCTGCCTGCCTACCTGCCTGCCTGCGATCACCCGGTGGCGTGCACGTGAGCTCCCGGCCTGCGCGATAACAGACCAGGAAATCCCCAAGGACCCCGGAGGGGTTTTTTTTTCAGCTGCCTGCCTGCCTGCCTGCCTGCGATCACCCAGCGGCGTGCGTGCGAGCTCCCGTCCTGCGCGGGAGCCCCCGGCCTGCGCGACAACAGACCCAGGAAGGAAGGTAGCCACGCGGGATGCCCTTGAAACACCCACATGATGCGCCCCCCCCCGTTGTCAAAACTCCTGATCAGCCAGTCCTTAGACCAACTCTGCAGAGGCATAGGTTCTCATGAAGGGTAGTTTTCTGAGCTCCCAACTTTGAACATCTTTAAAGAAAGGGCAGGGGAAACCTGTAATAGAACTGAGTGGAGGTCAACCCTGAGGGTAAGGAAACTAAAGTTAGGCCTTGTAGATTGTGTTCAGTATCAGTCGTGAGGAACAGCCATTGGCTAGCTAAGACCAGGGGATTGGGTTCCGCATATGACTGTGCATGTGGTATAATATGAGATCAGAGATAGCCTGAAAGAGGACCTTCAAATTCTTTTTCTTTCCCTCTCTCTTTTCTCTTTTTTCCTCTTTCCACCCTAAAATTTCTTTCTTTTTTCTGTCCTCTCTCTCCAACTCAGTCTCTTGCTCCACCATAGTGTCCCTCATCTCCCTTTTTATTCCAGTTCCTGAAGAACTCAGACTTCTTTTTTTATTTTTTGTTTTTAGGACGGGTTTCTCTTTATGTTCTTTTCTCCAGTCATTTTACCTCACTCATGGCTCTGTACCTTCAAGGGAAGGCAAGCGCCTGTTACTGTTAAGGGGATATATTCCTGTCCTTATTCCTGCACTCTCTCTATCCCCCCTGAACTTAATAGCTTTGTAAAGATAGTAAGGTAATTCTACAACCTCTGGATTCACTTCAAACCTGCTCTAATTCTTTCACTTATCTAATCCTCTCGTTCTAAGTCGAACCCCCCATCCTAAATGGTAAAGATGCCATATTGAAAAGAATATTCACTGCAAACATACTATGAGCTGCTTCTTGAAATTAATCTAATTCACATGAGTTAAAGGTGATACATTAATGACTACCATAAGTGGTCAGTTGGCAAGCTGTGCCTGATCCTATTGGGCTGCTGAATGTATCAATTGGGACAAAGAGTGGTGATTGATTTAAAGAGTTGTTTTCTCTGATATTATGAAAACGAGAATGTCTATGAGTCATTAGAAACTCAAAAGCTAAAACGCAACTATATTAGGAAGATTTAAGTAATACCCAGAAATTAAAGAAGGACAACCCAACAATAAAAATAAAAATGAGAAAACACTTAAGCAAGACACAAAAACAAATATCCAGTTCACCAATAGCAAATAGTAGGACAAATGAGGATGAAAAGTCTGATAGTGAACCAACAGGACTCCCTGGACCCATAGCACAGGAGGTAACAAAATTGATCAATCAGGCTCTAGAAAAATTCAAATCAGAAATAATTTCCCAGCTAGCCAGAGAGATGATGAGCAAAATAGAAGTCATGATTCGAGACTCTAGAGCAGAAACTGAGAAAAAAATAGATGAGCTCAAGACTGTGATAGAAGCCATGAAGACTCAGCATAAGAAAGACATGGAAACAATGAATGCCCAACAGAGGAAAGAAATGGAATCCATAAAACAGATTCAAACAGATATCCAGGAGATTAAAAACTCTATTGAAAGTGTACGAAACAGAATAAAAGATTGCGAAGATAGAATTTCAGATATAGAAGATAGGATAGCAGTCAGTGACCGTGAAAAAAGAGGTCTATTAAAAACAGTAAGGGATCATGAGAAATCAATCCAACAACTCCTAGACGATACAAAGAAAAATAACATAAGACTGATAGGAATTCATGAAAAAACAGGAGAAAACACAAATGATATAAAAAAGCTCTTCACAGAATTAATGACAGAAAACTTCCCAAACAGAAGGGAAGAATTAGACATACAGATAAGTGAGGCATATAGAACCCCAACTAGCCACGATCAAAAAAAATCTACACCTAGACATATAATAATCAAGATTCCAGAAATCCAACAGAAAAACAAAATACTACAAGCAGTAAGAGAAAAGAAACAAATCACATGCAAAGGGAAGCCCATTAGAATCACAGCAGACTTTTCAACACAAACCCTTAGGTCAAGGAGAGCCTGGAGTGAGGTATTCCAAGTCCTAAAAGAAAAGAATCTCCAACCTAGACTTTTGTATCCTGCAAAACTCTCTTTCAAAATAGATGGGGAAATAAAATACTTCCACGACAAAGAGCACCTGAGAAATTTCATGAACACCAAACCAGCACTGCAAGGAATTCTAAACAATATCCTAGAAAAGGACAACGAAATTCACAATAACATGAGGCCCAACAGACCAAATCAAATAGGCAAGGCAAGAAACTAAAAGGAGATGGGAGAAAAAGTAAAAAGAGTCAACAAATGGACAAAAACATGACAAGAATAAGTCAAAATATATCAGTTGTAACCATCAATGTTAATGGCCTCAATTCACCAATCAAGAGAAACAGATTGGCAGAATGGATTAAGAAGCAAAATCCAACAATATGTTGTATACAAGAAACACACCTAGTGCAAAAGGAAGTCCATAGACTGAAAGTGAAAGGATGGAAAACAATTCTCCATGCGTCAGGAGTCCAGAAAAAAGCAGGGGTAGCAATCTTATTCTCAGATAAAGTAAATTTCAAACCAAAACTCATTAAGAGAGACAAAGAAGGACACTACATCCTTGTAAAGGGAACAATTCAAGAGGAAGAGCTGACAATCATAAACATATATGCACCAAATATAAATGCCCCCAACTATATAAAACAAATATTAAGTAACATGAAAAACCAAATAAGCACTAATACAATTGTAGTGGGGGATTTAAATACCCCACTATCACAAATTGACAGATCTACTAGGCAGAAAATCAACAATGAAATAATAGAACTGAACCAAGCTTTGGAACACATGGACTTAATAGATGTTTATAGAGTATTCCACCCCCAAAAACCAGAATATACATTCTTTTCGGCTGCACATGGATCATTCTCCAAAATAGACCACATACTGGCTCACAAAACAGGTCTAAATAAATGCAAAAAAATTGAAGTCATCCCCTGTTTATTATCAGATCATAGTGCAATCAAACTAGACATCAATAGCACAAGAAACTATAGAAACTTCACAAGCACATGGAAACTGAACAACACTCTCCTAAACAATCAATGGATTACAGAGGAAATTAAAGAAGAAATTAGACAGTTTTTACAAATAAATGAGAATGCCAATACAACAT